AAATTACATTTTACATAAATTTAACTTCTTAATTTAATATTAAAGCTTTTGGAAATAGTTTAGGAAATAATTTTCGTGTATTCTTCAAATTTGTTTGTAACAGAAATTTTTGTAGTACAAAAAGCCGGAATAAAAGTGAGAAGAAGAACGTAAAAATGTTTCGCAACTGTTACTCTAACATCCATAAATGGCCGTAAAAAGAGGAAATAGCAGAATTTTAATATCGAACTGGATTAATCGAGAACAAGGTTAATTACTGTTGTGTCATAAATTTGTAGTAATTAAGCGGAGAAAATTACCGGTGTAAAAGTTAGCAAATGAGCGTTGAATAAAAACAGGTAAAGTATCTTGTACGGTAATACATAAAACGGAAGTGACAACGGCGATAGTTTTTTTACCGACTTTTCACTCCGCGATAGCGGGCAAACGAGTTTCGAAATTGATTAACGAAGAGACCAACAGGTTTCAGTGCACTCGAGTACTTGGATTCTCGACAAACAGCTCAACTGCGACAAATAAAAGGGACAGACCGTTGGATAAGTAAAATACGATCGTTATAACTAAGGTGAAAAAATTCTTTTTAATTGCTTTACTAAATTTATTTAATTGAACACTAACTTATTCAACTGGTTTGTTAAATTAATTTTTTCAGTATTTATGAATGATCGCTGATACGTAAATTAGACTGTTTAAACAGTATATAAAGACTGCAAAAGTAAATTGAAAGGAAAGAGTTCTTAATAATAGTAACAATAAATAGAATATAAAATTTTGATTTACAAAGAATTCCGAAAATGAAAGATCGTTGGAATATCGTAGCATAATTTCTATTTAATAAAAAGGCAAAAACGTTTAATGTAACTAGAGAGGATGCTATTTCTAAGTAATTACACTGTAATATCTGACTACAAGGGAAAGATAATTATATAAAGCTGCTGGAACACTGTGACCCCGGTAATTAGTACTGGAATTTCTGATTAACGTAGAATCTCGAGTATCACTTTTTAATCGTGCTTCGAATATCTTAATAATTTTCTAATTAAGGGAAAAATTCTGTAACAATTAATCGTGTCTCGATCTTCAATTCTACAACAAATGAGAAAATATCCATGGAAATATTTTGCCTCGAATTTTAATTAATTATACAAATGAGAAAATATCGATGGAAATTTTTTGGTCTCGATCTTTAATTATGCAACAAGTAGGAAAATATCGACGGAAATTGTTTCACGTCAAAAAAATCATTTTTTCACAAAAAAAAAAAAGTATAATGAAAACAGGAATTGAAATTTACAGAAAAATTGTTTGCAAGCACGCGTTGGAATTTTCGACTGTGCACGCGTGTCACGTTGCACGCATGCATCCACGTACTACGCGGCAATAATATTTAAGTGCACCTGCGCCTCTCTTGCTACGAGGAAATTCGTCGAGACGTTTTAATTCACCATGAGACACGATTGCGTCCGATGTAAACGCGGGTGCAGTTACGTTCTCTCTCTCTGACATCCGAACGCGAAGTTATGCGAAATAAAACCGCCTACAAACGCCTATACCTTAGTCGTTCTCAATTCGATCACGTATCGCAACTCCTCTTTAATTTCCCTATGTATTTCAATAACCTTACCTTTCACATAACCTTAAAATTCCGAATTTATTTTAATGGATTTTTATTATGAAAGATTTATCGCTTAATCGAATAGTCTTCCACTTTTCATCGAACGAAGGTTAATTCACTTTTCCGCCCCTGAATCCTTATATTCTCTATTTTCCGCTGTCTCAGATCCATTCAGGGTGTTTCCTCGCTCTGACTCTTCCTTAAGCCGCGTTCACACTGTGTGACGTAACATGTTACGTAGCAGTGTTATGGAATTTGTTGGAAAAAGAGAGAGATAAATGTTGTATAATATTATGTTGAATAACATTTATAGTGTTACGTGGGAAGTTGTATTGTTGTCCATGAAGTGACGGTGAAGATCAAAGATTGTTATAAAATAACAATCGCGGGTCGTAATCTCACAAGGGAAGTTTGGTAAACAGAGAATTTCAAAAAATTGGAAACTTTGCAGAGATGTAGTTCATGTGATGCTAATAAGAAAGTTATTTTTTTTTTATTTCGGCAGCGAAACAGTCGTAGGGGTGAAAACATAACCTCGAAAGAATGGTGAGTTTTCGTATTATCGCGAATATTTACGAAACCGTGTAACATATGGGAAGAAAGTTAAATTCAATGTTGTGCAGTTTTTGACGTTCTACATTGTGGTGCTAAAGAATTAAAAAAAAACATAATTCTTAATTTTTTGAAAATTCTTTACCGCTGCAATATAGAATATCAAAGACCATACATCGTGTCCTATATCGCGGCGATACAGAATTTTTACAAAGCAAAATTTTTTTGAAAATTCACCCTTATCGCTTAATTTTTTGAAAATTCTTTACCACTGCAAAGTAGAATATCAAAAACCACGCATCATGTTCTATATTGTGCTGGTAAAGAATTTTCGAAAAACATTTTTTACAAAATTCACCTCCACCACTCTTCGTTTAAGAAATTTATGTCTGTTTATTTCTTCCTTTAAGGATTGCTGTCCCCCGTATCACTCTGTTTCCTTCCATTCAGCGTATCTTAAGGTTTCCTTCAATTTTTCTTTCGAAGCTTCACGCGCGTCTCTCTCTCTCTCTCCCA